ATGCAGTTTTATTTTGTCTGTGAATGAAAGCGGTCGAGACCACGTCACGAGAAGATTATTCCTCGGACCGTACGCTCCTTGCATTTTGCAAGGCATCTTAATTCATTGCATTGTGCGGTCTTGAATTTTTAGTTCTTTGTTACGCGAGTGTCGTTTGATTCTTTTATAGGTCTCTGTAGAGAAAAAGCCGCTTTCCCTTTTAGTTTGATTTAGCTCAGGCCATAAAGAGCTAGTGAGCGCCGGTACATGGTATCTTCGCCTGCGAAAAGTACAGTCTCCAGCCGAGGTACATTATCGTTTTGATTGTGTACTTGAGGTGAGTCAGCTATTGCTCCCTCACTGTATTTAGTAGCTATGAGATTACCTTCTCTGAAGTGTGAAACACACTGGATTAGGTAAGTACATGGCACCGTAGTTTTCTTTTAAGTTGTCAGAGCTAGCTGGACTGTTTTATGTTTTAGCCTTGCAGTAGAAAAAGAGTATGCGACATACGCAATCAGCTAGGAGTGGACATGAATCTTGTGCCTGCTGAAAAGTAGAGCCTACCTGTACAGGGTTCCACTCCAACAGCCGATATAGTGTGTCCATGCTTGACTGCTTCAAGGCTCAAAGAGCAAGAGGATAAGACTCTGCGCATAAAAGACACTAGCGGTCTGCACCTCTACCGTGTACGCCCTAGTCACTCTTTCCCCCCCCCCCCCCTCTCCTCCTCCTTGTCTTCCTCCCATCTTCCCTCCCTCCCTCCTCCCTCCTCCCTCTTCGCAAGTTCGACTCCGTCCTGTCGTCGCTCTTTGGCATGCGGTTAGCGTTGCGTATCTTGCGGCCGCACTCGCTCACTCTCACTCTCACTGTCTCACTGTCTCACTGTCTCTCTCATCTCTCTCATATCTCTCTCATCTCTTTCTCATCTCTCTCATCTCTCTCTCCTCTCTCTCTCTCTCTCTCCTCTCTGTCTCTCGTCTTTCCGTCTCTCTTCTCTCTCTTCTCTCGCAGGAGGATCCGGGCAAAGAGCCACATATAAAGGACTCTTCACCCCTGCCTCCAAAAAGAGCGCCGTGTTTTTTCCTACCTCGCTGCCCTCCACTTTCCCATTCTGGAGCGCTAGCTTTCGCCCCCCCCTTGGCCTCAAGTATACACCTTAATGATTCATTCGTGCCAGGAGTTGAGACGATCTTGGCAGTTGGAGGTGGCCCCACCACTGTCTTAGAAGCAAAAGCCACAGCCCAACTGCCCAAAAGCAGCATGCCTCGTTGGGTCACTTGGCTGAGTTTGGCCGTGCGCAGAAATACAGGGTGTTGAGCCATGGACGATTGATGTGAGACATAGTAGCAAGAAGCTAGTAGGTTGGAGGCCATCGCTACTAGGGTGGAGGCCATCGCTACGAGTCAGCAAGAAGCTACTTGTAGCAATTTTGCCTGTGAGGGCCAAGAAGGAGACATGGTTTGAAGATGTTTGAAGAGTCTTCAGAGTCTTCCACACCCAGTTGGCAAACTGAAGTTTGCTGAACATCAGTGACGGGGAGGTAGTTGTTTTGGCACCCACCGTGCACCATTTCTTCAAAGGAGGCCACCACTCAACCTTTACACACCTGGATTCAACAAATTACAACAATTTCTTCTTCAGGCTGGCGCCACTGTGCTGAGGTGGTGTTGGACGTGCCGCGTGTAAAAAATGGTGTGCCCGAGCATGCAGAGGAGCTCCTCAAAGTTGTTGGCAAGGCGGACCGACATGCGAGAGAGGCAGAGGGCGCAGTGCATTCCGATATGTATAGAGGGATTTAAGGGGATGGGGGTGCAGCTAAATCACGCTCCTATGCTTGGATGCTCGGCATCTCTTTCTCTCTCTCTCTCTCTCTCTCTCTCTCCATATATATAAACAAAACATAAAATGGTATATGCCTAATAATCTCCATCTTTTTGTGTGCCCCTCCCTAAAGCAATTGAAAAGATAATCACCCACCACGACACTGGCAGGCTCAGGAAAATTATACCCCTGAGTGTGGTTCTTGGTTGGGCTGTGGACTACTTTGATGCCGTTTCACAGACCAGCTGAAGGAGGCTGACACAAAATGATGATGGGCATGCCAGCCTTGCAAGCACAAATCAGGAATTCTCAGGATTCCTGGATCAAACTGATCAAATTCCGTGAGTCACTCGTCACTCGTTTTTAGGACCAGATTGGAGCTGCCGGGCTCGAGCGAAAGCAACAGTTGTCGAGAACGACGTGCATTTTCGTCGCTGGCACATCACCCAGGGAATTCACGCATCATCTCTCCACATTGGTCCACCAAGGTGTCTCAATGGCCGTTAAATGGGCCTTGTGAATCGGTGAGAACTTAGGGAGTTACGAAGTTGGCCCATGGGAGCCTATGAAGGCCTCACAGGCAAAGCGAACTACTAACTTGCTGGAAAGATTTGAATATACATTTTGACTTCTGGGAATAATTTCTCGAAGAGCAATCCAGATCACGAGCACACCAAGTCGCTAAGCTGCCGAACCACCACCATCGCTAAAGGGTTGGAGGCATCCGCTCTTAGGTTGGAGGCCATTCCTATTAGGGTGTCGAAGCACCAGCGTGACCAAATCAAGCGGCCATGGCACCACATCGTCGCCCTGCCAGGTGCGGACATAGTGCAAGAGAGTTACACCGTGTTGCTACCAGATGCTACAAGCAGCACAAGCATACTGTATAGAGCATCTCAATGCACATCAGTTGCAATGATGAATGCAGTTACAATGTGTTACTTAGTGGAGAAGCTGAAGCGTGTCAAACAAAATGAGAGATGTGGCCAAGCACGTCAGCGTGCTAGCGCTCTCACGCGGACAGGAAACTGCTGGCGTGTAAATTGCGGCAACGCGAAGCGTTGTCTTGTGGGTTTCAAAGTGGTTGTACGATGCATATGTTTTGGCTGAACTTGTGGACAGAGTGAGATATCCTCTAAGAGGTTCAAGAAAAGTTATAAACAGGCTAGATTAGAACAGATATAAAAAAATCGAGGCCGTTTATGCTAGATGGTTCCACACATGTCTAAGTAGAAAGAGGACATGTAGACAAGAACACAAAAGACGCAAGTTTGGTAGAGAATAGTATGAACAATCAGACATGCCAACCTCAAGTGCAGGGAGTCTTGTAGGGGCAAGTAGTGGTGTCTAGAGAAAGGAGTGGAGACGTGGAGTTGTGTGGAAAGTTATTTATTGTTCCGAATAGCAAACATGTTTCCTAGTAGTAGGGCCAGGAGCCCCTAGGCCCTAGTATACTAGTAACATCCTTGCTCCTGTCAATATTTCAGAAATCAGCACAAATTGTAGAGAGGATTGTCAGCTAGAAAGTTAAAAGCTATCTATGCACACGTCTGGAACAACAAAGAAATGTAGAAACGCACACACGCATGTGTATATATATATACACATAATTTGGGTGTCTAGAGTTTGACAAGTAGAGCAGGAATTTCTAGAAACACCTTGACATGAGTGTCCAGAGAAGTCTCGGAAAGCAGAGGTGTGTACAGAATGAGAATCTCGTCAAACATGCAGAGACATACAGGCATACAGAAAACCGAAAGGACACCAGAGAATATCTATAGAAAGATGTGCAGAACAGAATGAGCAGAACAGTAGAACCTAGAGGTTTCTATAGTAGATAACAGTAGATAAGTTTAGACAATTAGAGACTTGCGAAAGGGGTCGGATTGTATAAATGTTTTGGGAACCTGCAGGAAGGTAGCTGTCGAGCAAAAAGTCTAGGGCAGGTACAGGTTTGTGTTTTGTACAAGTAGGGAAAGCTTGGGAAAGCCACCCAGACTTGCAAAGAAATGTAACAGCTTTCAAACAGTAGATGATTGTTTCCTGAAGCCAGCGGCAGCTCGCTGTTCATCATTGCCTCTCACCACAACATAAGTCAGACGTTGCATCAACAACATCACAATTACGCACCACTCGTCATTGCATCACACCAAGAACCAGAAGACCAGAGCCATCATAGCCATAGAAAAGATGGGTTTACATCACATCACGTTTCGCCCGCCCCACCTTTTGCGGGTTTTATAATGTACTCATCCAAGAGCCGGCAGACACAAAGCGTTATTTTTTGTTATATAGGTTGGATGTGCAGACCAGGCATATCATTGTTTGTTGGATGCTCCTTCCGAGGGCGACAATCCGAAAGCGCCCTGCCACATCCGTGACATCCGTGACTGCAGCGCAGCACCAGGCGTCATGTGTTTGCGTTGCTGGTACTCCTTAAAGACGCCATTCTGGATGCTCGAGGTCTTATTCTTGATATATTAACTTACTTGCTGCGCCCGCTTTCCATGGGACAGAATTTTCACAGCCGCAGGTTGCGGAAGAGGTTACTGCGCCTGGTGCATTGGTCTTTCAAGAAGAGCCCTTGGTTTGTGCTCAGGTGGGCCATGTAACGCCGTTTGCCGGTGTTCCAGTGTGTTTCATTCTTTTTGCGGGAGGTTCTTGTGGCATTTGACGGAAATTAACATGTCCAGTTGCCCCAACTGCCTCGTGTATTTAGTTGTCTTTTCGATTGCCGCTCAGGCTCCAGACCAACTTCAACTGTAGAACAGTTTATGTCACTAAACATCTCGAGAATGTGCACTGAAGAGGGGCCTCATGCTCATCGCCCATCACCCCTCAGCACACTGCGTCAAGCAAAGAGAAGACACTGAGCAACCTCACGCTTGTGGGTCTCACCCTGTGAGGCCTCTAGACCTATAGTCTAGGCTCTCCTTTCGGCCACTCGGGTCTCGTTAGGACTGGCCGAATGAGAACACATGAAGGATCATGAGTTGACTATTTTGTAAACTTTCTGGACTGGCCTTTTGGCAAGATTCTCCAAGCATGTTAATAGGTTTTACAGCATGATTTTGAATGCATTCCAATGGGATGGACAAGTGGAACACAATGGGAGCTTTGAGACTGTTTCACTGCGCGCAGTACGAAGCCTTTGAGTCCGGCTTGTTTGACGATCCACAACCTGCCTTGGCGTTGCCATGTCGCAAAAGCAAAAATCAAAAAAGAAAAGGTTCAACCAAGCGGAGGCAGGGGGCGTACGATGGCATACGGCTTTTGACACCCGAAGACTCTATGACACTCTTTGCTGCAAAGTCTGATGTTTTTGCACATGATTTAAGCGCTCATTAATGGTGATGGCCTCCAAACTAATAGCAATGGCCTCCAACCTCTATAATTTGCGCAGGCTGTATGGATCACATTGTAGTCGTTTTGCTTGCGCGTGGCCGAGGAGAATTTGAAAGTGAACGCTGACGTGGAATCTGAAGGCCGTGACGACTGCTATGTTTGCCAGTTTTTCCAGCATCCATCAGTCCCATGCCAGGCCTGCACTCAAAGTCATCTTCATCAAATGCTGCATGGTAGCAAGATGAGAAAGCGGCAAGTGTTGATAGAAACTGCTCCTGCCATGGGTTTTCAGGGCAGCTTATGAATCCAAGGCCCAGAAAGCAGATACGATGAAAGATGCATCTGGATCTGGCGCGAACGTCGAGGCACTTTCGAAAGTAAGGCAAAGTCTGTGTCAAAGGAATCAGAAGTGCGAAAGATAGCTTTCCGCCGTCCGGGTTTGGAGACTTTGACGCTTACTAGTAGCATGAATTTTTGCGAAAGCAATGCATCAATGAAGCGCGAGGCCTTCGATTCGCCAGTCAAAGTGGATAGCTCCGTCAATGATTGGGAGGAGCCGCTGGAGACGCTTGCACCCACCCTCAGCAGGGCCAAATCCGCTTTGGAAGAAGCCCTAGCAGCTTGGCATCCCGCTTTCAAGTGACTTAGTTGTCCTCAGATTCCAAATCGACCTGGGCATGAATCTCTACGCCAGTCCCATATTATCAGGGAGTCTCTGGAAAAACGTCCAAAAGCAGTGTAGCTCTGAAAAGCAATGCCCACAAAGCTGTGACTTGGGTCCGCTTGTTATCAAGCGGATCCAAATCCCATTTGAACTCGTTATAGGTAAAAGGATTTTGCATTATCACACTGGCCGTCTTGTTCGAACCCTCTAGACTCCCATCCAAGTAGCTTTAAGAGACGATGACAGAGCATCAATGGAATTGAGATGAATCAACCAGTCCGTTTGAAATTGAAGATGAAGTAAGTTTTCAGCTGAGGCTGTTGATGAAAGTTTGCCGTGGCGGCGAGGACGCTTAGTACTATTGGGCCAAGGCCGGGCTGGAAAGACCTCCACTGTGAGATCGTTGGTGGGAAAGAGATTCGATGAGATGCAGATCCTCGGAGGAGTCATTGATCCAAGCACATGTGTTGTTTTTCTCACATAGCTTCTTATAGGCTCGTGTGATCGTAGGCTTATATTAGGACATGTTATGACCAGATTCCATTTGTGAACCTTGGTGCTTTGGTATTTGGGTGGAGGCCATCGCTAGTAGGTTGGAGGCCATGGCTATTAGGTTGGAGGCCATTGCTATTAGGGGAGGCCATTGCTATTACGTTGCAGGCCATCGCTGTTAGGTTGGAGGCCATTGCTATTAGGTTGGAGGCCATTGCTGTTAGGTGTTGGGGGCCATTGCTATTAGGTGTTGGGGGCCATTGCTATTAGATTGGAGGCCAGCGTAGGTTGGAGGCCATCGCTAGTAGGTTGGAGGCCATTGCTATTAGGGGAGGCCATTGCTATTAGGTTGGAGGCCATC